CTCATTGCAGCTGTTGGCCAGTGGGGTCGGGCCGCAGGGCTGGCAGGGCCGGCACGGGGTGTAGCAGGACATGTCTGGGGCTGGAGCTGCACCTGGGACAGAGGGCAGGGGAAGAAAAGCATGAGTTGTGCTTGAAGAAGAACCTCTCACCCCCCACATGAGGGAGACCATTTCCCTCATCCCAAAAGAACATCACAAAGAGACCACAGGAATCTCCTTTTCCCTCAGAAGAGCCCTGGCGGGAATTGCAGCCCTAGGGAGTACCCCACCTAGCCCATGGCTGTGCAGACATTTCAGCCAAGCCTGAACCTCTTCTCTTGCCACACTGTCTTCTACCTGCCCTCCCCCATGGCAAGCACCCTCAGGACCCCAGAATATGACAAAGAGAGAGGTATGTCCTAAGATATCACACAACAGGAGGCGGAAAAGCAGGAGGAGGAGGAGGAGGAGGAGAAGCGAAAAAAGTGTTCCAAACTCACCTTGTTCCCAATAAGATGGAGAAGAGAGGAATGGATGAGACAGTAAGGACAAGAACCCACTTTTATACTGCTTCTGCACTGCCCCAGGCCCACAGTCAATGCACAGGGTAGTAATTTTCCAACAGACTCACCTCCAAAGCAAAATATCCCACCTAATGCCACAGGGTGTGTTTTGGTTTCCATCAGTGCTGCCATTTCATTTCCTCTTTTCTGACATGACCATTAGGCCTCCGAGGATCCTTTCAAGTATTGAGATGAAAGGCCCAAGGATTTGGGGCAGTGACACATCTGTACAGGCAGAAGATGTGTTCCATGTGCTGGAAGGGTCTGTGGAGACTGTTGACACCAATCTGAGGAAATATGTTGTGGTTGTTTTCTACCCTCTTTGGGGGTTTCTGAACATACCCTCCCACCAATTCAGTCCACTCCTGCCCATGGCAGTTTGTTTGGCAAGGTTGTCCCCTCTCCTGGCAGCCTTGTGGGGTTCCCAAAGAGTGTCATGAGTGGCATGGAGAAGGATAACTTGCTCTCCTGAACCCTGTGATTCCTGAACCCAGCTGTAGAGCTGGGTTCTTTCTCACTGCCCTAGGGGTGTGTTGGGGCTCAGTGAAGCATCTTGTTCTTTCCATTTTCCTCAGATCACTATACCCTGTGACCCCACAGTTTGGCCCCACACTAACAGGAGAATCTTTTCCAGAACAAGCCTACTGTCCTGAAAGCCCCCTGAGCTGTGGAGTGATGGCAATGAGTCCGTGCTGAGGGTGGTGTCTGTTCAAGCTGCCCAGAGC